CACTGTATTCGATGAAAACAGCAAGAACCAAAGTTGAATCTATACTGTAATTATGACCAAGCAAAAAAAGATATATAAGGCAAAAAATGCTGGAGGAAATACAGGTGAGATGATGATATATTATTTTAGGGTGGTGATTGTAAATGGTTCCCCCTCCATTTTCCAAATCTTCTTTAAATTGGTTACTTAGGAGTGTTTAAAAAGGTGAAATAGGGCTGGGGATTTAGCTCAGTGGTTCTGCTGCCTGCTTCACAAGCACAAGGACCTGAGTTTGAATCCCAGTACCAAAAAAAAAAAAAAAAAATGTTGCTAAAAAGGTGAAATAGGCCAGGTGTGGTGGCACACGCCTGGAATCTCAACACTCAGGAGGCTGAGGCAGGAGCATCACTGGGAGTTTGAGACCAGCCTGGGCTACACAGTGAGTTCAAGGCCAGCTTGACCTGCATAGTGGGACCGTGACTCAAAGAAAAGAAAGGTGAAATAAAAGAAAGTGAAAGGCCAGCTACCTGCAAAGTGATCCTCAAGGTAGGGGGAGCCTCAGGCCTTGTTTGTGCACAGACATGCAGTGAGAGGCTCCCTGTCCGCTACCGGATACGAGCAGCTCAAACAGAGAGGTAGACACGGTTTCCCATGAACACAGGGTGGCTCCAACAGAAAGGACAAAAGCACATGCTGGAGAAACATTCTTTCTACCAAGAGGAAGCAATCTAGATCAAAGGCAAACACTGCTCCTGCAGGTGAGGCCTAGCTTCGCTTCAGAGCTGCAGCAGGGGCTGAGTTTGGGGGTGGGGTGTGGGGGTGGGTGGTCCACTTCAGGGCCACTTCCCCTAGGTGACACCTCGTGTTGGGTCGCCATTAGACGTCCATGATCCTGGGCCGGGGATTTAATTCAGTGGTGCCACCACCTGCCTCGCAAAGTGCAAGGTCCCAAGTTCAATCCTGGTACCAAAAAAAAGAAATTCGTGATCTTCCTGCACCTGCCTGCCAAATGTGAGGCCCTGAGTTCGATTCCCAGTACCAAAAACAACAAAAGTCTGTGATCTTCCTAATGGAAAGGAAGGACTCATCTCAAAGAATGAAACAGCTAATTGGAGAAGAGATCAGGACTGAAGGTAGGACAAGAAGACAGAAATGATTAGCTTGTCAGAATGTTTTTTGGTGTTGCTTTCTTCCTTATAGGGATTGAACCAGGGCCTGGTTAGGGAATGCTCTCAGCGAGCTACATGTTGTGTGTTTCTAAGAGTGCAAGCAACTTTGTTACTCATAACACCATTAACAGCAACAGGAATTATTAATAGTAACAGGATGAGTCTTCAACTTCAAACCTTTTATCATTTAAAAACAGATGATGGCCAGCATGATGGCACAAGCCTTTAAGAAGAGGCAGGAGAATCCCACGTCTTCTAGATTGAGAGATCATATTTAGGGTACAAGAGAGAAATCCTGCAGCTTTCATTGGTTGGAGGGGGTATGAGCCAGGGATTTAGCTCAGTGGTTCCGGCGCCTGCCTCGCAAGCACAAGGGCCTGAGTTCGATCCCCGGTACAAAAAAAAAAAAAAAAAAAAAGGTGAATACAGGGCTACTCCACTGCTGAGCTACAACCCCAGGCCTTTCTATTTTTTATCTAGAGGAAGGGTCTTGCTAAATTGCTCAGGTAGGCCTTGAACTTGTGCTCCTCCTGCCTCAGCCTCCTGAGTAGCTGGGATTAACAATAGTATTTCAAAGTGGCAAACAAAGAAGCAGGAAAGGATCGTGCAAAACTATGAACTCTAGGAAAGCGCTAGAAAAGGCTATTCTGAAAAGCAAGGTTCTCCTCCACGGTGATGGACCCTCTAATTAGTGAGTGTCTTTTTTTTTTTTTTAAGTACCCTTTGGCTACAATTCTGTTCACACAAGTCCCCAGAGACATGCTTGGTATAGCGCCTTTGTTTCAAAAGATCATTGAGGATTACTGAGATTTTTTTCTGCCACTGAAGTTCAATGAGTTGTAGACACTGGGCCTAAAGAGTCCTATGTCTATTTGGAGCATTTTTGCTAATACAGATGCCTGTTAGTCAAGGTGGGTGTTCCGGTCTTGGCCACAGTAATAACACTGTCATAGATAAGGTACAGTCACAAGCATTTGGGAACAAGGCTGAACGAATCAAACAATGTCACCCATCATTTATTTTCAGGCGTGACACCTGAAATGTGGTTAGCCACTTGATATAAACCAGAAAACTTGGAGGTTGGGGATTGTAGCTCAGTGGTGCCACCGCCTGCCTCGAAAGCGCAAGGTCCTGAGTTGATCCCTGGGACCAAAAAAACAAAAAACAAACCCCAAAACTTGAAAAGAATTTAGTGCTATCTTCAGTACAACAAAGTTAATGCACTTAATGATGGTCATAATCTTTATATTCTTTCAAAGTAACTAATCACAAATGGCAAATAGCTTATTATCTAATCAGTATATAATTCATATTGTTCCTATGCCAGAAATGGACTTTTCTAGGTTGAAGACTTTAAAAGATTTAGGGGCATGGGGGTGTAGCTTGGCAGGTGGAAACTTGCCTAGCATATATGGGGAACTAGTTTGATTACCAGCACTTCAAAAATAAAGAAAATAGAAGATTTAGTAGGTCAGGAAACTGTAGTTTCTGGAGAAATAGAATTGAAATGTTCAGACAAAAGAGGTTCTTGGGGAGGAGGAAGAAAGAAGGGTAGTGAGAGGAGAACCAGGAGCAAGATGGGTCCCATGCCCAGCTTCAGCCTGAATGTGCAAGCAGGTAAGGGTGGGTGGCGGGACAGGGCCTGGAGACATTACCTGTGAGTGCCCAGAAGCCCTTTCAGGAGAGTGGAGCCAGGAGGCCCCGAGGGGTCTGTCGCACAAGTATTCTGGCCTTGGTCTAGATGTGGGAATCGGCAAGGAAAGACCAACTGTAAAAGGTAAGGAGTGTGGAGACTCTAAGAAGCATTGTTAAACTGGGAAAGAGAAAAGAGGTGGAGGAACACACAGGGAAACGCAAGGAATTTTAAACACAGGAGCACCAGAGTCAGCAGAGGAGAAACCCGAGATGTAAGCACAGAGATGCAAAGAGATGGGAGGAAACAGGCCTGAGGTCTTCACAAAGGAGGAAAGAGAAGCTGGCAAGACAGGGCTGGACCCAGAAAGGCCTTCAGGGGTGAGGTGGGGTTAAGTCTGGTGGGCAGGGTAGCCTTCTGTCTGCGGAGGGGAGAATGATACTACCTCAGAGTCTGGTTGAGGGACGGAAACAGGAGAGTATAGTGCGGCTCAATGGCACCCAGGAGGAGGCGGAGGCAGGAAGATCAAAGCCTGGGCAATTTAGGGACTTAGGACCCTGCCTCAAAGTAAAAAATAAAAAAGGGATTGGGATGTTGGTCAGTGCCCTGGATTCAATCTCCAGTACCAAAAACAAAAACAAACAAACAACCCCCCCAAAACAAACACCCTCAAACAAAAAAACACCAACCATCCAACCAACCAAACAAAAACACAGAAATCCTCACCGATGTACCCACTGTTACATTTAAAAATTTGCAGCATTAGGGCTGGGGATTTAGCTCAGTGGTTCTGCCGCCTGCCTCTGAAGTGCAAGGGCCTGAGTTGGGTCCCTAGTACCAAAACAAAACAACAAAAACTGTTTAAAAAAACTGCAGCATTTTTGGGAAGCTGGAGCAGGAGGCTTACTGGGAGTTCCAGGCCAGCCTGTACTAAATAGGGAGACCCTGTCTCAAAAATCCACATAAGTAGCAAATAAATGAAAAACTGGCAGAGAGGAGAGTACAGGTGGGCTCACAAGGTCTGAAGTACAGTTTGAGAGGAGGTGGTGGAGGGAAACAGGAAGATGGCTCCTGAATGAGATCTTCCCTCCAGAGAGGAACTGGGCCTGGGGAGGAGGGAAGGGAGCCAGGGAGACTTCCAGGGCCCTGGACTCTACCTATTCCCCACCTTTTCCAGCCACGCCCAGGGGCAGGCTGAGAGGCTGAATAAGGAATTCCGGGGGCCCACACTTCTCCTTAGGAATGTCTGACATTGTAAGAATTTAGTATGAACCGGTCGTGGCACACATCTGTAATCCCAGCACTCCGGAGGCTGAGGCAGGAGGATCGCTGTGAGTTCGAGACCATCCTGGGCTACACAGTGAATTCCAGGGGGTCTGAACTGACCCTGTCTCAAAACAAACACAAGACAACAACAAAAAAAGAATTTAGTATGAGCTATGAAGTAAATGTCCCAGAAAAAGGCACTTAGAAAAAGGCCATCGGTATTTCATATTTTATTTTGCTACGCTGGGGATTGGACCCTGGCTAGACAAGCATTATACCACTGGGCCACACCTCCTGCCCTTTTAAATTTTATTTTGAGACAGGGTCTCCCTAAATCTAAGCTGGCCTCGAACTTACAATCTTTCTGCCTCAGCCTCAGGAGTAGCTGAGAATACAGGTGTGTGGCATCACGTCTGGCAGTGCATACTTTAGCGGGATCTGGCAACCCATCGGGTTTATAAAACCTTGCCGAAACGCCAAGGGCTCGGGTGGAGAGCGGCCCGGAGCCTCCCCGAAGGCGGAGCCAGAGGACTGTCACTCAGCAGTGGGGGCGGGGCTCCCGCTCCCCGGCATCCCCCAACCTGAGCCCGGCTGGCACGGAAAAGGGCCCAAAGGTCCCAAAGAAAGCATCCGGGTGGGTGTAAGTACAAGCGTCCACAGGGCCAGTCCTGCAAGTGAGAGCTAGGTCACCTGAGGTTGCCTGGGCAGCCGAGCGAGCTCACCATTTTTCTGCTTTACCTAGAACATTATTTTGGGTTTTGCCTTGTCTCCTCCCGGAATCTCACACATTTGCTATGTAAACAGTCAGAAATAGTAAACCTTTAGGAAATACACCTGGGAGGGACTTTACGATGATCTCATTTTGCAGATGAAGGCATTGAGCCCCAGAGGGAAGTGACTTGCTCAAGGTCACGCGGCAGCCGGATGTAACCGTAGCTCAGGCGCTCGGGCTCCCCACTGTGCCACCGTAGGTTCCCCTAAATTCCCTGCCGTCCCCGCAAGGCACAGAGGCCAGACTCCTCCTGTGTGCGGGTTAATGATTACAATCCAGCCGGGCCACAGCCGTGGTGGTTACTGATTAAGCCGTTTTCAGAGCGAAACGACGCTTCCAGCGGGAGTGGAGCGTTCTTGCGTGAAAGCTGGGGGCCGGCAGATTGTATTAGCATGAACTGTAGAATTATAATATTTCAAGTAAGTTTAAAATATTTCGTAATACAATACCTTAACCTCCGTAGCTTTACACATTCTCTTCACTGCATGCCGCATGCTGGGCCCTGATAAAACTTTTAGGGAGAGGAATTGAAAATAACCCCAGTTAGTGTTTGAGGGAAGTAGGTAATAAAATCTGTTTGCTGTGTTCGCTGTCTCCAGATAGGGTTGTAATTACACCACAGAAGGAAGAAAGGCAGCTGAGCCTCAAACTTGATCGTATAAACTCAGCCTTCTTGTCAGTGGCGCTCTCGTATTCCATGCCTGCAAACCGCAAAACTCCGCTCCTGCGATTGCAGTGTGGGATCTGATGCTGTGCCGCTTGGTTCTTTCTGTCACTGGACGTCTGTGGTTCCAGACCCAAATCTGACAGGTGAAATTTCACAGGTAAGGTTAAAAGAAAACTCTTACCAATGGGCTCTCCGGTACAACAATTGTATTTCTGAAACTTGTAAAAATTAGAGGTATTCCCTGAACCAGAGTATTACAAATGAATATAATTCATTTGAAAAAAGCTTTTCATTGTAAAAAATTGTTTCTTTGAAATGTGTTTGGAGAAAAAAACCCGATCTTCGAGAAACAATTTCTAATATAACCACGTTAACATTTGATAACATTTTAATCTGTTATTTCAAGTATTTGGCAACTTTCCAGCAGTCCCCCCCTCCCCGCCTTACAAAGACCATTATGTGCATAATATATTCATGTTGTAGCTATAAAATCAGAGACACCATGGCAAGACAAAGAAAGTGTATTTTCCCTTCATGCAGGGCACCCTTCTCCCTCGTGGCACGCTGGTTGCTGGCCTTTGATCTGCCAGTCCTCCTGGCTGGCACCCACAATGCTTCCCCAACACCTACAGCTCCCACTTGCTCTGCTTTCTCCAGAAGACAAACCACAGGCCACCGCCCTGGCGCCATCCCTGGCCCGGTCCAATCAATAAGGACTTATTTCCTGTCCATTTGCTGAGGTCACGGGAGTGGATCTCATTAATTATTTCTGCTACTGCAGCCTCAAGTGTGCTTCTGGCTTGACAAGTGAAAACTGCTTGACCTTTTTTTCTTCTCATTTTGTTTGCAGCTGATTCCAAAAAGGCGGCAGGTTCATTTAGCAATGTGATGAAAGGCAGGAAAAATATGCGTATGTTCTTAAAGTCATTCATGTATTTAGCTATTTTGTAACCAAAGCTCCTCCATCACCTCACTCCTCACTCCTTAGGCTTTTCAGCTCAGGAACAGTAGTGACTTTTTAGTCTGGTGTCATGAAAATCTGGTCACCGCAAACACGATGTTTTCTAAAGCTGATCTGGCCTCCGAGGGAGAGAAGCTCTCCAGGGCTTCCAGTGCCTTGTTTCCATGGTAACGACACAGGTCAATAGCTGAAGTCACACCTTTGCCAGCTTTGATTGTTTCTCGTAACTGGTAAGAAAAGACATGCACAATAAAAGTCAGTTTTTAGGCTGTACAGTAAGGATCACAATTAAATGGGGGGGGTGAGAAGGGAGAAACAGTATATACTCAGTCTTTCTGCTTCCTTATGTTGAGGTGTTTAAAGAGGCCATCATTCCCCAGTGATCTCCAGGCAGGAATGCTCCCCTAGGCTGCTCGCCTCTGTGTTCAGAGCAGCACAATAGGCTCCAATCAGCCTAATTACACCTCCTGCCCAACTCCCCCTGCTGATAGGTTGAAATGTGCCACGCTGGGGGTGGAGTAATAAAAGTGGAGGGCATTTACATCTCTGGCATTCTGAATTCAGCAGCCTGATGTTCTCCTGTGAGGAAACCTTCACTAACATCGTAGTTCATAACTTTCTTTTTAAAATGCCATATGCGCTGGGTGTGGTCGCCTATGCCTGTAATCCCAGCACACAGGAGGCTGAGGCAGAAGGATTGCCACGAGTTTGAGGCTGGTCTGAGCTAAAGAGTGAGTTCAAGGCCAGCCTGAACTATATAGTGAGACTGTCTCAAAAAAAAAAAAAAAAAAAAGAGCCGTGTATGTTTTTCCTTTTTTTTGGGGGGGGGATAGTGTCTCAATAAGTAGGTTCAGGCTAGCCTGGAATTTGCAGTGATCCTCTCAGTCTCCTCAGTGCGGGGATTACAGGCATAAGTTACCATGCCCAGGTCAAATGCTGTATGTTGGCATAATAGTTTATATGAAAATTCAAGAAAGACATATCTTTAGACCTGAGTGTGATGTATTTAAAATTAAAAAGATTTATTTGAGGAGAATAAACTAGAACTACCCTTTCTAAAAAATAAATTTGCTGATAAATGAAGCTGGCTTCTCAAAGTTCTTTGGTCACCAGAAAAGGTCAATAAAATGGTTACTCCTTAGAGCTGGAAAGGACTGTTATTTGCTCTCCCTGCTTTCCTTTGTGCCAGTTCCCCCTTCTCCTCCTCAGCAAACGTGTGCCTCCCTTCCTAAACCAGGAGCTGGGAGTCTTTTCCCCAGGATGAGACTGGCAGAGCCAGGTGTCCAGCTGTGCTCTGGCTTGTGGACAACGAACTTTACTCTGGGCTGCAGCACTGGCCGGTCCTCAGAGGTCCCTATGGGCTTGGAGCAGCCACACTGGAGGTGTCGTCTGCGCGGGTCTCCAGGTGGCTGCGGTGAGCGCCAGGTGCCTCTCTGGCCTGTGATAGGCACGTGGTGTGGCAGGAGGGCCAACTTTGCAGTCTTCTGCAGAAACTGAGCTCACCTCTATCCACTTTCACTGATAGCGAGTCTGCTCTGTTGCCCTTGGAGCTGTACGCTTCTTCCCACTGCCGATACAGTAGTAAAGGCTCTTGGCCTCTCTCTCCTGGGTTAGCTTTGCAGTCACCTCCTAAAGAGCTTTCCCACCACCAGTTCTGCCCCTGGACTCCATCCGCTATGCCACGCTGCCAAATCTTTCTTGGTACCGGGGATTGAACTCGGGACCTTGCGCTTGCGAGGCAGGCGGCAGAACCACTGAGCTAAATCCCTGGCCCATATGCTGCCAAATCTTGATGAAATGCAAATACGATCTTCCTTAAAGTCCCTCAGTAGTCTTAAGGGAAAAGCCCACACTCTTTCAGGATACGATGAAATCCTTTCTGCAGTATGGCTCTTAACTGGCTCCATCTTCCTAGCCTCTCCCCCCTTTAACCAGTATTTAGAGGATGTAGTAGTTCTCAGAGCCGCTCTACCATCTCTCCTGGGGCGGACCCCTCCCCAGTCTTGCGTGAGCATGGATGCACTCAAGATGAAGTGAGAGGGGCCCCTCTTCCTCTGGGCTCCCGGAGTACCTGGGTACACCTGGTGCACAGCATTATTATACAGTGCTGTATTTTAATTTTCTACTCACTCTTCAGGAGACTGCGAACTACCAACTGCATAATGCATAAAACAAACAAATAAAATAAATATACTGGTTTTCTTTTTCGGCGGTTTGGAGAAACTCAGTGACTCAAGATCACAGAAGGAGCGGAGGCCATGCTTCCTGCTGCCTTGTCTGAGGCACCTAACACTAAAACAGACCCTCACCCCCCCACAGATGCATCCTCTCCACATGTGGACTCTGGAACTATTTCCCTGGTCTCCTGTCAATCACCAGGGCATAAAGGTACTAAAATGGCGCTGGGGAGCAGAGGTAGCCAGATTCAAACTCGCATTCTGGCTTTAAAATTTCAAGAAAGCCACTTACCCATTCTTGTCCTGAGGATAATATCAGTCCTTTGTGGGACTACTGGGGGCTATGTGAGAGAGCACAGAGACTTTGACAGTCTGAATCGCTGTCCATGCTCAGTGAGGCTGTGAAAACCAGGCACAGATGGCTTAGTTCTCTCTCAGGTCCTTAGCTATTGCCAAAAAAGCCAAGGGTCCTAAAGACAGAAAGAATACCCCACTTTTTTTTTTTCTGTACTAGGATGGAGCCCTGTGCATTGAGCCACATCCCCAGCTTCCCCCTCCTTGGTGAGACAGGGTCTCATTAAATTGCTAAATTGCCCAGGCTGGGTTTGAACTCACAGTCCTCCTCCTTAGGCTCCCAGAGTGTTGTGATTACAGGTGTCTGCCACCAGCCCAGCTTGTTTTCATTATCTATGATCTTCCAAACCTAATCAGGACAAGCCCACGTTCTCCTGGTCTAGACGTGTAGGTTCGAAACTGCAGGGATGGGAATACTTGCGTGAGCAGATTAGATGTTCCGTTTACAAGTGCTAGTTGAGCACCTACTATTTATAAAGAGTAGAATGTGCCTTCTCTGCTTTATGGATCAAGAGCTAATTAAGGACAAACTGTGAGCAGCAGCACAAACCCAGAGTACAACGTGGGAAGGATGGAGCTGTTCAACGGAACGAGAGGGCAACTTCAACTGCATGAGACTGCAGGAAGCCTGGCAGAGCACGGTGTGCGGCAGGTACTGTGCGAGTGCTGTTAGACAGATACGGGGCCAGGTCACTTGGGGAACGAGAGCAGCTGAGCAAAGGCGCAGAGCAGACCCAAGTGCAGTGTCCAGGGAACAGAAGTAGATTGGTATGGCACAGCTTGCAGGGTCAGGGTTCAGAGGACCAGGCTAAGAAACTTGTACTTTCTTTTCAATATTTTATTATAACATTAAAAAAATACAGAAAAGTTAGCGGGGCATGCTAGTGCACACCTAATCCCACACTCTGGGTGGGTGAGGCAGGAGGATCACAAGTTTGAGCCTGGGCAACGTAACGAGTTCAATACCAACCTCAACCAACCCTAGCAAGACTGCCTTAAAAAAATACAAAGTAAATAAGCGAATAAATAAAAATTCAAAAAAATATGAAAAAGGGTGGGGAATGTAGTTCAGCAAGGAGGCCCAGGCCTTAATCCTCAGAACCACAAATGAACAAACTCACCAACTCAGAAAAGCTGAAAGAGTACGGCCCTGGCCTAAAGGTGTTTCTGTCTATAAAGTTTTGTGGGAACATAACCACGTCTATTTGTTGTCTTTTCTTCCGCCTTCACAGACAGAGCTGCTGACTCCTGGACGCGCACAATGAATGACCATACGTCCTCAAGCTGGATTCAGCCCTCCTTAAACTTTGCCAGTTTGATTCTACCCATGCAGCCATGTTTGTTTCTGAGCTGTTTAAAAAATAAGCCGTGGGCACAGTATGTTGTAAATTAGTTGGGGCAGGGGCTGTTGCAGCATTTGCGTTTTATGGTATAACATTCTTACATGGCTGACTGTGAATTGCTGACGGTCATGGGATCATAATCCCTGTGTCTTTTTTTTTTTTTAAACATTTTAAATCCCTGAGTCTTTAACAACAGGCTCAGGGGTGTGATAGTGCATACCTGTAATCCCAGCACTTGGGAGGCTGAGGCAGGAGGATCACTGCAAGTTTGAGGTCAGCCTGGGCTACACAGTGAGTTCAAGGCCAGTCTGAGCTACTTGTTGAGACCTTGTCTCAAAAAAAAAAAAAAAAAAAAAAGGAAAACAGAACAAAAACAAACCAAAAACAGGCATGGTCTGGGCACATCATTGGTGGAGGATGCTAGGCCTTCTTTTGATGTGTGTCTCCTAAGACTGGAACATCCTTGTACACAGTCACAAAACTATCATCACAGCTAGGAAAGTAGAGAAATATGTCTAGTTCACATGCAAACATCAACTAGTTCCAAAACTTTTTAAAGCCAATTTTTAATTTTCTCTTTTTTTCACAGTATTGGGGATCGAACCCAGGGCCTTTGCACTGAGCTACACCCCAGCCCTTTTAATTTTTTCATTTTGAAACAATTCTTGTTAAATTTTCTGTGTGGGACTTGCCTCTAGGGAGTGTGGGATTAGATGAACACCACAACATCTGGCCCAGCCATTTTTCAAATCACGATCAGTTGATACGTCATGCTCGTTTGCAGTGACACTTTAAACTCCTTTTTCCCTCTGCTGTGACACTTGCAGTTTGAAATGACCAGGCAGTATTATAGAATGTTGTACAGTCTAAATTTCTATGGCTTTTTCATTTTAGTTTGCTCCTCTATGAGCTTTCTTCAGCCAGGCCCAAGTGAACATTTTTTTTTTTTTTTTTAATTTTTTTGAGTACATAATGACTACATTAACTATGATGAGTTGGCACCTGTACCTAATTAATTAAATATATGCTGTGGCTAATAAAGTATTTAATCCTATGATGAGGCTGAAATCCCAGCACTCAGGAGGCTGAGGCAGGAGAATTGCCACAAGTTCAGAAACATCCTGGACTACACAGTGAATTCAAGGCCAGCTTGAATTACATAGCAAGACGACCCTGTCTCAAAATAAAAACAAAAAACCCCACAAAAACAAAAACAAAAACAAAACAGTCCTAGCTCAGTGGTTCAGTGCTTGCGTACTACACGTGAGACCCTGGTTTGATTCCTAGAACTGGGGAACAAATTGAACTCTATGATGAAGGATAATTCAGGTAAGTGTAAAACAGGAACCAGAAAGATAAGTCCTAAAGACTTCACTCCTCTCACATAATGACTACAATGAAATCCACGAAGATACAAATAATAAGCCATAAATGAAATGCAGTTTTACTCCGCAAACCAGTATAGGTGACAAGGTTATCTTGACAAGAACAACCATGCCCTTTAATGTGATAAGCAGCAAGCCGGGCATGGTGGCACATGCCTATAATCCCAGCACTTGGGAGGCTGAGGCAGGAGGATCGCTGTGAGTTCGAGACCAGCCTGGGCTACATAGTGAGTTCCAGGTTAGTCTCAACTACATAGTGAGTCTCAAAAAAAAA